CAATGGGTCTCCCACCCTGCCCTCCATTCACGTTTCTCTCACACAGCCTGAGCACTGCAGCAGGAGCCTGAAGCCCAGCTTGTGATTCCCTCTGGCTTCTGCTCCCTCATCCCGGAATCCATCCAGTGTTGAATAGGGGCAGCCAGCAGCCATGTGCACTCAGCCAAGAAGGCTGAAAGCGATTAGGGCTTAGCCATGTTTCTTGGACAGAGGCACCTTCTGCATTCTAATCCAACAGGGCAGGAAAAGAGCAGCCCAAGTTGCTGCTCTCCAGTGGGGCTGTGGCAGGACTGGGGAAGAAGGGGCATCCCCTCAGGAAAGGGATTCTGAAGTGCTGGGGGATGGTCCTGGAACCAGCATGGGCAGGGAAGCATAAAGAGTGTGGGGGAACCCTGTCCCCTGGCACCTGATGCAGACCCGTCCTCTTGGAGGTAGTGAATTCTTGAGACTCCACTTCCTCCCTCATTCCTTCCTCCTCCCTCTAGTCTCTCTCTCTCTCTCTCTCTCTCTCTCTATTTCTGGTCCTGGCTTCTCCACCTGGTGGACATGATCTTTTTCAGGGGAGTAAAGCTTGGGTTCCTGCAGAAGGGAGTGGGACAAGGAGAGCTGCAAGGCTGGAGCAGGAAGGGCGAAGTGGGGTCCATCCTGAGGGGAGCTAAGCCCCATTCCCCACCTCCACTCTGGACAGAGCATCAGCAGGTAGGTCAACACTGCCCCTCAACACTGGCGGAGGGGTGGAGGGACAGGCAACCAAACCAACCAAACCAATCTGAAAGCCAGAAAAGACAATAACAATAGCAATGGAATGGTAAAATAATAATAAAACAGTAATTCCTAGCAGTTACTGAGTACTGGTCACTGTCCATGTAATTCTCACCATAACCCTGGGGACTGGGACATCTCCATTGTGCCAATATGCAGATGAGGAAATCGAGGCACAGGGAGGTCAAATAACTTGTCAAAGGACAGACAGCTGGAAAAAAGTGGAGCCAGACCAGCACCCCCTCCTCCAATGGAGGAAAAAGAGAGGCCCAGAGAGAGATGGACAGTGGCCAGCCCCAGGTCACACAGCAAGTTGGAGGCAGGGAAGGGGCTGTGAGGGCCTTGCCTCTCAGGGCTGTCTCTCCCTTTCCTCCATAATGCCGCAGGCTCTTCAGGATCTAGGAATGTGCCATGTCATTCCAAGGGCCTGTGGATTCAAGCTTGGGCCTCATTCTCCCAAGGGATCCAGCCTCTACTTGTGCCAAGAAGGGGGGTTGGGGGGGTAGAGAGAGAGAGAGGGAGGAAGGGAGCGGGGGGGAGAGAGAGAGAGAGAGAGAGAGAGAGAGAGAGAGTGAGAGAGAATGAATTAGTTCAGGTGGAGGGGGGAGGTAAATTTGGACTGAGACCCCGTCTTCTCTCCTGCTCAGTTTTGCAATTTACCGCAGAAACAAAGCCCAGTGTCCAAGAACAGCAAATCAGTTAAGAAAATCCCAGCAGGGCCTCAGCAGAGGCTTTTGCCGCCATTAAACATGTGCTTCTAGCAGACTCTCCTGCTGAGAAAAGTAATTCATAATATAGTGCGAAGTAGAAAAATCGGGCCGTAAAATACATGTACTGTTTCACAGCCATCGAATTGCCACCAAAGGAAAGCAAACAATACTAGGGATGGCAGGACATGGAACAATGGAAATGCAGTGCTCTGATGGTGGGAGATAACTGGTTCCTTGGAAGCACAACTGGGCAGCATCCTCAGCCTGGCATGGCACATACTCCACGTCCCGGGAGGACCGCTCCTCCGTTTAGTACCCAAGGGAAAACTCTGGATGTGGGCACAAGGGCACGTGTATAAGACAGCCACAGCAGCCTTGTGAGGAATAATAGAAGAAGGGAAGCAGCACAAACGTCCGTCCTCTGGGGACTGGTTAAAGAGTGGTATATGAGGCAATGCTGCACAGCAGTGGAAAGGAAATGATCCTCGTCACAAAATCTATATATGGAATTTGGATAGATCTGAAAAACATTCTGTGCAAGCAGGACATTGCTTACAGCTTAGCGGCATATATTTAAGTAAACACAAAAATAATATACATTATTTATCGAAACATACATATATATGGGCCTATGGGCAGGAAGGGATAGAAAATGAGACTGGAAAGGAGGATGTGAGAGATGCCAACCTTACCTCTAATACTATTTCATGTCTTTAAAAATCCGGGACAAATTTACAAAACGTTAACATGCAAAATGTTGACGTGTGCTCATTTGGAGTGATGGGTGTATGAGGTTATATTATATTATCCTGTGCACTTTTCTGTTGCCTTTTCTTCAAAAGGTAAATCCGAAATAAGTAAAAATGTTGAAGTTTAGAGAACATTCTTTCTGTTTTTCTAGAAAACCCACCCCAACATATATGCATCTGTATAGAGCGGGAAATGATTGGGAAGAAAATACTCCAAAATATTAGCTGTGGATTCTGCCTTCTGCTGATGAGAGCACAAGCAATATTTATTTTTTCCCTCTTGCTAATGTATCTTTTCTGACTTTTCTATGAGGGGCATGCTATGCTTGTTTAATAAAAACAAACAAAATAAAGAGGAGCCTGTTAGTCTTCTGGGCCTCCACGAGGTCCCAGGTTCCAAAATAGATCTGTCCTCCGACCTGGCAGGTTTATTCTTCATGTTCTGGAATGAGTGCCAGATGTGGGCTCCGAGTCAGCTGAGTTCCCGAAGCCTGAGAAAGGACGAGCATGGCTGATGGCTCAGGCTGAGTAGTACAGCAGAGGGTACATGCCCTCCATTCTGGTCCCTTCAGCCTCTGGAGCAGCAGAATGTGAACTCACTCACCCATTTTTCAGAAGAGAAGGTGAGGCCAGGGTGGATATGCCTGGGAAAGAGCAACAAATGTTGCTAACAGGGGCAGCTGTGTCCAAGCTCTGTCTGGCTGAGAATGCACTGGGTCCTAACATGATGGGTAACTTTGGACATGTCCCAAAGTGTCTCTGGGCCAATTTCTCTGGCAGCCCCAATGGAAACAACCCCACTTCCTGCTGTACCTTTAAGTATCATTGGAGGGCCTGAAGGACATTTTTATACAAAGACATACTAGATCTTTCCAATGATACAGATAATAATAACAGCTACCAACTATTGAGCACTGACATGCTAAATACTTAAATGGCATTTTCTCATTCTCCCCTCCTCTGGAAACTGTAATTTCTAGCAATATCTCCCATCTCACATGCTCTTCTGAAACCTCGCGACTTCTCATCAAGAGGTAGTCTATTCCTCCTCCTCCTGAACTTGGGTGGGACTTTGTGACTGCCTCTATGAATAGGATGTAGAAGAGTTGACCCGGTGTAACTCTTGAGGCTAGGTCATAAAAGGTCATATGCCTTTTGCTGGACTCTCTGGAGATGCTCACCCTTGGAATGCAGCCACCATGTCATGAGGAAGCCGCGACCACATGAAGAGGCCGCATGTAGTCGCTCTGGCTGACAGCCCCAGCCGAGGTCTCAGGTATGTGAATGGATGAGCTTTCAAATGGTTCTAGGCTCTCTAGCCTGCGAGCTGCTCCAGCTGACACCAAATGGATCCGAGTCAAACCATGCCCACTGAACCTGACCAAAATTGCACATTTATGGGTAAAATAGGTGTTGCCAATGTTTTAAACCATTAAGTTTTGCAGTACCTTGTTACACAGCTCTGGTAACTGAAAGACCCTCCGTACACCTTGCTTATGTGGGACCGTTCTCTCCATTTTATAGATGAGGAAACTGAGTCTCATCTACTAAAGCAAAATCAAGATTCAGTGTCAGGAGTATGGGGCTCTTAATCACTAGACCTGGGTCATAGGAGTGACCTCAAAACTCAGCCTTGGGTCCCTTATGGTCTATCAATCGTGTTGTGTCTCTGGGTTTGGGGTGGAGGAACATGGAGGAGGGAAACAACTGACAGACTGTTGTCTAGATGGAAAGTGTATGGAGATAAAATGATTCTTGCTCCACAGATTCACGCCTGAACCTCCTGGGGACACTGACGGATCATCCCCAAGGTTGTCAGCATTCCAGAGCTTCCTGCCAGGACCTCACTACATTGCCATCAGTGGCCTGGAGAGATGGCCAGGTCATGTCTTCAGGGATGTGAACAGCACAGTCAAGAGGCTTTGTGTGTGCCTAAGCTGCCCAGCTTGCAACCCTCATTTATCACCTTGGGTATTGAAATGCAGGGAGCTGTAAAAGGAGGGGAGGTATGGTTCTGGAGTGCTGGATTCTGGAGCTAGGCCAGGAGTGGGAGATTCAGACTGTTGACTTAATCCTCTTCTTTGGATCCAAATACTTAAGGAGCTCCAAATTGCCAAGTGACCTCCAGGAATGATCTGTTTTCCCGGACTTTGCTCCTAGGAGCAAAAAGATCAGTTCTTCCAAGAAAGAAGAAATCTGGAGATGCATGGCCTGGAACTGCATAAGGAGAACAGGCTTAGCCGCCAGGCTGGCCCTGGAGCCCAATACACTCCTTCCAACTTATTTATCAGCTAGGGATTTAGAGCTAGTAATCTCTGATTCCAGGGCTGCACCTCCATCTCTTCTCCCCACCTTCGGCCTCCCCACTCCAGCCAAAGGCGGCCCCAGAATGATCTGCCCCAGGACAGGACAACCTCTCATTACTGTCACAGGGACCTGGCCAGGGCCACCCTAGGGCACAATATCCCCCCACCAGGCCCCAAGGGAGAAGGGAGGATGGGAGCTAACTCCCAGCTGTGGCGCCTACTTCCCCCCAGCCTTGCAAGGATTTTCTGTTTCCTGAAATAGACTGGACTGGCTGCTTCCTCCCCAGCTTCACCCCTCTCCCCCCTCCCTTTGCTCTCTCCAGGGGTCACTTCACTTGTGCTAAAATGGAACCAGAGGGGGAAGGTGGAGGGGGGAGAGAAGGGGAAGGCGTGGCGGGGTGGGGGGGTGGCTGAAATTTGAGATCATAGCTTTGGTGGGGGGGAGGTTGGAGAGAGAGAGAGACAGAGAGACAGAGACAGGAAGAGAGAGGTCAGTTGCGTTTGGTTTTCCGAAGCAGGCAGCACTGGGGGTGTGGTGTTTGAGTCTGTGAGTGTGTGTGCGCTTGTCTGTGTGCATTGTTTTCTTTCCTCCCTCTTGCGGCGAGGCCAGGCCCCCACTGGATAATAAAAGGGCTCTAAGGCCTGAGGCAGAGCAAGGCCAGCGCATGGACAGGGCCGGATGGGCAAGAGAGGAAAAAGGAAGGGAAAGGGGGAAGAATAGAGGTGAAAAGGTGTCTAGAGATGAGAGCAGGAGGCAATGGGAGGAGGCTGAGCAGCTGTGGTATCTGGAACAAGTATAAATAGCCGCCTAGCGGTGAGCTTGGCCAAACAGTTCTTTGCAGCTGCAGCAGCTCTGCTGGCAGGCCTGTCCACTGTTGGCCACAGTAGTTACATCCTGGGCACGGAGCGGGGTGGTGGGCAGACAAAGCTCCTGCGGGCGCTGACCAGACACCCTCCAACATCGCTACATCTCTGGATGCTCTTCTGGACAGCCATGCTGCTGGGTGGACTCCTCATCACTGTGGCCACAGCGACTGTGGCACAGCAGAGAGGGCAGGAGGCGGGCGGGCGCCGCCGGGCACACCGAGTCCAGCATGGCCAGTGCAGCTACACCTTTGTGCTACCCGAGCCTGAGTCCTGCCCGCCAGAGCCTGAGACTTTCAGGGGCTCCAACAGCCTGCAGAGGGACTCACCGGCCACTGCACTGAACCTGGGGGACTGGCCCACCCAGCGGGTACAGCAGCTGGAGAAGGTGCTGGAGAACAACACCCAGTGGCTGCAGAAGGTAAGCGCTGGGCCTGCAGAGGTGGGTAGTGGGCAGTGATTGGCAGCTGGAGCATCCACCCCAGAGGCCTTCCCTGGGCACAGAGGGCTGAGCTGATGGGACTTTTGTCTCTGAATTGTACAGATTGAGATAATGAGGCCCAGAGAGGGGCAGGAGTGGGCCTCAGGCCACACAACAAGATTGGGCGGGGTCGGAACTGGAAATCTGACTCCCGAACTGCCATTCATTCATTCATCTGATAGAAATTGAGCGCCACCTTGGGCCAGGCCCTTCGTAGGTGCTGGGGATACAATAGTAAATAGAACAGTAGGTTCTCTTCTGGGCTAGAGGGAGCAAGCGTCATGAAGAAATGAACGATAAAAATCTACTATGTCCAATAGCGAAGCAAAATGAAGGAGGGGAGAAAAGGCAAGGAGTGACCAGCTGGACCTCTCTGTCTGTCTCTGCCCCTCTCTTTCTATCTGTGTCTCTCTGACTCTTGTGGGTCTCTTTCCTGGGGCTCTCACAGTATCCCTGTGATTTCTAACTGTGTGTGTCTCTGTCACTCTCTGATTCTCTCTCCTGTCTGGCTGGCATCTCCCTCAGCCTCTTCCTGTCACTATCTCAGGTTCTCCTTTAACCACTAGACCCTCTCCCCCACCCACCTGCCTCTGCCTCCCTGGATGTCCACATGCTCTGTCCACACTGGAGGACACACCAACCTGATGGCCAGTGCTCACTCCTCAGCCAGGCTACTTGGCTAGAGCCTTTTTCTCTTCCCCTTCTGCACCCGAAGCTTCAGGGGGAAGGTTCAGGGGCTAGGAGGGAGCCTCCCGACCCAGCTCTGCCCCCAACCTCTGTTGTTCGCTCCAGGTCCCCGACATCAAACCTCAGAATAACCTGGCTCCTCAGCCTAGCCTGGCTGGACGTGAGTCAAAAGCACATCCAGTGGGAGCGCAGCATGGGGTTCTGGCCAAGCCTGAGACCCTCCCACACTGGCCCAGGGCTCCCAGCTGTCCTTGCTGCCCCAAGCTGCCTGTAAATTCTTGGCATTTTCAGCCTTTGGTTATCCAAACAAGAAACATTGCCGAACCAAATCTCTTGGGGCTTGATTTCCTAACCCCATGGCTGGCTGCTTTTTGTTTGGGGCTGGGAGATGGGGTGGTGAGAACAGCATCTGCTTCTTGGAGAAATAAGGTTATTTTTCCAAGAAGAGAGCCTAGAAACGGCTGGCACAGATGTCCTCAGCCTAGCGATGATGGTCCAGGAGCCGCAGCCACAGAGGCCCCTCACAAAGCTTCCTCCAGAGGGACAGGTTTATTTGTTGAAGCATCTTGGCCCAGCCATCCGACTGGGGCAGGGGCATGTGTTTCTGGTTTTTTCCTTCCACGCCCCAGAGCTAGGCTGGGCTGGAATGTACACAAACCCTCTCCTTCTCTCTTTGGGCAGGAAATGTGAGAAGACAGGCCCTAGGTCTGTCCCCTGAGCCTGCACCTCTGGCCTCTGAGCGTTTGCCTAACCGCAGAGCCAGCTCTGAAATGTCTGGAATGGATCCTGGAACCCGCTGTAGAATCTGAGGTGGGCTGAGCTGGTGACAAAGGGTCATGTCCCAGTGGTGCCAGTGACTAGCTGTGGGGCCCTGGGCAGCCACCTGCATCATTTGGTTCTTCTGCCTCCCAGAGAGAGCAAAAGATAAAGATTACCAGATGTACTGAGCACTTACTGTGTGCCAGACACTGTCCTTGTGCCTTGAGGGTGTTATCGCATTTAATTCTTACAATGAGCCTATGAAGCAATACTGTTTGCCCATTGATAGTTGAGGAAACTGAGGCACTAAGCGGTGAGGTGACTTACCCAAGACCACATGGCCAGGAAAGATGAAGTCAGAGTCACACTCAAATACAGCAGACACACTCTCGCCTCAGAGCCTTTGCATTTGCCTTTCTCTCTGTCGGGAGTTTCTTTCCTCTTGACTTTCCCACGGCTGGCCCCTTCTCATCCTCTCAGCTCAGATGGTCCCCTCTGGTGAGGGTTTTCCTATCGCTCTGGCTAAACTTGCCCTTGACTCCGCTCATTACCCTATCTTATTTTTTTTCATAGCACTCATCACTATTGGAATTTAACTGATGGATTTAGTGGAAGTGCACTAGAGTCAGAAAACTGGGCAATTTTGTGTATTCCTGATTCCCTAGTACCTAGGACAGCACCTAGGCCAGCACCTAGGCCATAGTAAGTGCTCAAGAAATAATTCTTGAGTCAATACTTGAATGAAGCACAGAAGGTGAGAGATTAGATTGAGGAAACATTTATTATGATGACATATATTTATATCTGGAATGCTTCATAAAACCTTGTGTTGGTAGGTTTGTTTTTTATTGTATTTTATTCCACACGGAGTGAAATTCACCCTTTAACATATAGTTCTGTGAATTTTGACAAACGTATACAGCCCTGTAACCACCGTTACAGTCACGATATAGAACATTGCCAACAACTCCCCACATTCTCATGTCCTTTTGTAATCAGTCCCCACCCTCCCCCTGGCCCAGCTCCTAGCAACCACAGATTCTGACTTTTCCAGAAAGTCATGTAAATGAATCCTACAGGATGTAGCCTTTTGAGTCTTGCTTTTTTCATACAGCATAATACATCTGAGATGCATCTATGCTGCTGCCTGCATCAGTAGTTTGTTCCTTTTTATTGCTGAGTAGAGTCCTTGGATGGATAGACCAAAGTTGTTTATCTGTTCACCAGTTGAAGTTTTTTTTAATTTAAATAATGCAGGAGAGAAGCAGGTTTGCGAAGAGCTCCTTGGCTACTAAGACTGCTCATCCATAGATGTTCATCTATTGTCTTTCTGAAATACCTTTCTTCCTTCCCCATCCCCTGGCTGTCAGAACTCCTTCCCTTTCCTTCAAGGCCCTTTTCAAATGCCCTCTCCACAACAAAGAGCAAGGTTTACTGCCCAGATGTCACAGATTGGTAAGTGAGACTCAAAGAAAGGTAGCCCTCAACCACTAGAGGCCCACGGCTAGAGTGCAGTAGAGTCAGAACTCAAACCCAGGGCTAAGGGGAAAGTGGAGCAGCCCAAGGGCCAAAGATCAGTCTCTTTGCAGATTGGAAGGGTAGGGTACTGGGAGGCCAGAGCCCCATTACTCATCTCAGCCCTGATAATTTACCAGCATGAGGGTGACAGAGAAAGAGCAGGTCCAATGGACGGGGAGGAGAAGCTGTGGCAGATCCCAACCCAGGTCGGTTTCTCCATTGGGATTCTTCCCCTACCCTTCTAACTGGCTCCTCAGTTAGACCCCACCCCCGCCACACAGACCATTAAGTCACCAGAGCCCCAGCCTGGCCATACTGGGCCCATCTGGTCTGGATTACCCATCCCAGGGCCTGTGGTAGTAGGCGGGTGTAGCAAATTGGGTGATGGGCCCCAGCTGTGGGTAGCCTTTGCCCCACCCAGCCACTTGCAGCCACAAGACAAGAGACCAATGAGGGTGCTGAGGGAGCATCCGTGTCACTCAGAATGACCCCAAGCTACCCTGAGGGCCCATCCAGCTCTGTAGACCTAAGGAAACACCCCTGAGCAAGGAGTCTTAGAACCTAGCACAGCTGGTCATGACCTTGGGCAAGTCTTCTAGACCTCAGTTTGTCCATTTGCAAATGAGAGGCCTGGAGGAGATGCCTGAGAAGGGCTCACTGCAGAAGCTCGGAGCCTGGGAGTCTGCATTTTAAACCAAGTCCCAGGAGGTTCATGATTCATGGGAAAGTGCAGGAGCGGCCTCAGTATACCTCTGCTTACCTTTATCCACCCTGGTGCACACTGGCCGACCAATTGTTAGAATCCTGGGGAGCTGACAGAGGTGTGGTGGGGAAGAGTCTGACCAGTGGGGGCGATGGTAGCATGGCCCAGGGCAGGGGGAAATGAACTAAATCAAAACTCCCATTGGAATCATATTGGCCAGAACTTACTAGTGGATTGAGCAGCAGGTGAGAAAAAGAACAGTCAAAGCTAAGGGTTTGGGGCTTAAGCAGTGGGTGGGGCCATTTACTGAGAGGAGAAAGACTGAGGGATAATGGGATGGACATGCAGGGACCAGGACGATGGGAGCTGGGGAATCGAGGGTTCCATGTTAGAAGCTTTTGCTTGAGACACTTGTTGGAAACCCCCTTGGAGGTTGCCAGTGGGTGGGACATTCAGAGGAGATGGCACCATCAGCATGGAAAGGAGTGTGAAAGTCCTAGGAACACCTGTGAAGGGCCTCGATGCATCTGGGGCTTCGGACATTTGATATGGTGAAGCTCTTGGATCTCTTTACAGAATAATGCTTTTAAATACCAAAACAAACACATAAGAACACCCAGTGATATTGCAATCATAATCAAAATATTAAAATTAAATCTACGTTTTAGCTGTATCATTATCTAGTGGTGAGTTTGAGAATGTTCATACTTCCACAGTCATAATGAGCAAAAACAGTATTTTAAGACACTATAACACTTGCGTTATGACATGAAATTATGCGGGATTTCTATTTGGTAATGAAGTCACAGGATGGGAGAATCGTGCTTTGGTTTTTGGCCTGCGCTCAGAATTCAAGGAAATGCCAAACGTTAATTACAGATAGATGAGTGAACGGAAGATATAATTTTTTCCTTACTCAAGTTCATGGACCCCCTGAATTCTCTTCACACA